TTTGATGTGTAAATAGACAATGACTTTCCTATGAAAAACCAACGTGAACAAGAATTTCACAAGAAAAAGTGGTTACATAAAGGACAATGCGATACTCAACTTGTAATCAAAATATGCTTTTATTAGCAAAGTGGCAATGTGAAACATTGAATAAAGACTGCAAACAGCCATCACTTTAATATATGACAGTACAAAAAAACAACATAAAACTAAAAAATAGAAATAAAAAAGAGACATCATGGCTAGACCATACAGTGTAATATGCTTCAGAGGCAATGACTCAGTCTTTTGCTCATACAGCAAAACACATCGTGGTGCACCACCATGGTGGGGATACATGTATCATACCTAAATGCAATATCAATGCATAGACCAATCATCAAAGTTGAACAAGTGTAACCTCTACTACCATGGAAATAGAAGCCCAGCTGGGAAGAATACACAGTACGGAAATCAACTGCATGTCCATATATTGGATATATTCCACATGTGAATGCCAGTATCAAGATAGTGGTGATTAACCACTTGCCTACCAGGCACTTATACCCCCTTCTTTACAAGGCCAATTTTCAGCTTTCAGTGCTGTCGCAATTTGATTGACAATTGCGCGGTCATGCAAGATTGTACCCATATGAAATTTTATCATTTTTTTCTCACAAATAGAGCTTTCTTTTGGTGGTATTTAATCGCCGCTGGGCACTTTGCTTTTTTGTGCTATAAACAAAAAGTGTGCAAAAAATTTAAAAAAATTTCTTTTTTTCTATTATAAAATTTTTCAAACAGGTAATTTTTCTCCTTCACTGATGTGCGTTGATGAGGCGGCACTGATGGGCACTGATAGGCAGCACTGATAGGTAGCACTAATGAGGTGTCACGGATAGGCGGCACTGATAGGCAGCAATAATGAGGTGTCGCGGATAGACAGCACTGATACGTGGCACTGACTGGCATCACTGCTGGGCACTGACTGGTGGCACTGCTAGGCATTGACTGGCGCAACTGCTGGGCACTGACTGGCACAACCGCTAGGCACTGATTGGTGGCACTGCTAGGCATTGACTGGCGCAACTGCTGGGCACTGACTGGCACAACCGCTAGGCACTGATTGGTGGCACTGACTGCAGCACTGCTGGGCTGCATTGATGGGCACTGGTGAGTGGCACTGGTGGGCACAGGTGGGTGGCACTGGTGGGCACAGGTAGGTGGCACTGCTGGGCACAGGTAGGTGGCACTGCTGGGTGGCACTGGTGGGCACTGCTGGGTGGCACATGTGGGTGCACTGCTGGGTGGCACAGGTGGGTCCACTTCTGGGCACAGGTGGGCAGAGTAGTGGGCGGTACTGCTGGGTACAGGTCGCCGGAAGTGGTGGGTGGCGCTGCTGGGCACCAATCATCAGGGCACTAATCATCAGTGCCCTGATGATTGGTGCCGATCCCTGCTCTGACAACTGCCGGTTCTCGGCAGTACTTTCTTCATGATCTGACAGCGTGGGGAAAGTGCAGCCGAGAACCGGCAATTGCATTTCCTGGTGATCAGCATGTCATTGGACACGGCTGATCACGTGTTAAAAGGCCGCTGTGATTGGTCTTTTACCACATCACGTGATCAGCTGTGTCCGTAGGACACAGCAATCACAGAGATCGCGGGGTGTACGCCCCCGGGGGCATGCAGGAGAGCGCATTCTGGGAGGACGTCATATGACGCCCTCCCAGAACTAGCTGGCCGCAGTGTAGCCGTCATTCGGCTATCTGCGGTTGGCAAGTAGTTAAGGCACTAATTGCAATTAGGATAGCCTGCAAGACCGATTCCTAGGACTCAGCAACACAGACTCAAAATGTATCATGCAATAGTAGAGTAGTAGGCCCACATAGGGCAGTGGAAATGATTATGATAAAGTCTTTAGACATGGGTGCCGTATCCTCAAAAATAGAAGAAGTATGCAGCTTACTGCCAACTGGATGCCAAATATAAAGTCACTATCCTAGAGTAATGAATGACCTGTGAGGAGTCCGTGAGGCATCCGCCGTATATGGACTTCTATAGGCAGAATGCTGCCTTCATATGTGTCCAGCGTGTCCGCCAGGTGTGAGTAAATGTGCCATTCACCACCTCCTCCATCAGTTGAAAATGGTGTGACTATCCTTCAGTTGCTCTCCAGTCCAGTGCTTGGAGTCCTCAAGGCGACCGCCATATCAAGAGCTCCATAGACCAGGCTCTGCTTCCTAAAGGGTACAAGTGATGGTTGGTCTGCACCGAAGATAGTGTGGTGCTCCGTGTCCCCACGTGTGCAAGGGACTGTGTGCAGGAGTGCGATGTGTGCAGCCAGCCGTGACGTCACTGACGTGTGACGCCAACGCGTTTCACCGATGGGCATATCTTAGTCAGCTTTTTCAGGACCAATGAGAGGCTGGCTAGCAGACTCATTTATATTAGGCAAATCTCCACCTATACATGTCAATCATATGCTGTCATTTAACCATTAGTAAATCAATTACAATGGTCAATGCAAAAAAGTCAGTACACTTCAAAGCAACCAAGAGGATAAATAAATTAGTACTTCTTGTGGCAAACTGAGAGGAACAGGGGATAATGATTACTAGAATTATTTAAATGTTACTGTCAGGAATGGACTGGCCAGCAATAGTGGGACTCAGCTGCCTTATGAGCTGCAGTACCAGGGCTGGCCAGCGGGTGCTCCCAGCAATCAGAGACTCAACCTTGCAGCCAGTCAAACACCTGGAACTAATTATACTGGTGTATTTAAGGGACATTCAGACCTGCAGACTCTGCCTTGGTGTTGTGTTTCTCTTGGGCCCTGTATCCTGTATCCTGTTTCCTGCTCCTGCTCCTGCTCCTGCTCTCTGTTCCTGTCTGATTCTCTGCTGACCCTGCTCTGATCCCTGGCTTGTCTGACCATTCTCCTCTGCCTGACCCTCTGTACCACGCTGCCCGCTACCTGCTGAACCTGGGACTGTGACCCCCGACCATTCTCCGCTTGCTCCCCCTGTACCTACCTGCCCGACTGATATTGACCCGGCCTGCCTGACGACACTTGCATTGTATGTACTGTTATCTGTGGGTGGTTGGTTTGGTTTGTTTGCACTGTGTTATGTTTTAGTATTGCACTGCGTTTATGTTTGTATGGTTAGTGTTAATAAATTACATTGTTTATAACATATCTGAAGTCTGCGTTTCCCTGCGTTAGTCACACACCTCTGGTCATACCCGGGAGCTCTGACATTACACCAAGGCCAATCCTGACCAGAAGTGGCTGCACAGGGAAGCCATCTTGGCTTGTTGATGGGAAGGATGGATCTGGATGAGGTTGCGTATTTATATCTGCTAGTGTTTGATGACAGGGAGTATGCTTATCAAACTCTGAAGGAGTATCCCCGGGATGAACTGCTAGAATGTATACGGCTCGCTCATGTTCTAGTAGATCAGGGCACAGAGTTCTCTGAGGTGCAGCCTTTGATTGAGGTTTGTGCTGAGTTGGTTTCATCTGGTTCCCCCGAATGCAGGGATGAATTTTTGCCACCATTTAGTGCAGACCAGGTAGAGTCCCTGGTGTGGTTATTAGAGGATGATGTGGGTTTCTTTCTGGAGCGTTATTCCACATGTTCACCACAGACACTAAGAGATTGTATAAACGCAGTGCAGTCTTTGGTCAGACAGGCTTTGTGTAAGCTCAGCTTTGTTCAACCCATACTGCAGACATGGACAGACTTGTTGCACCCAGCCTCAGTCAGCTTACAAAGACCCAGTCCTGCTTCTAATCTATTTCCTCAAAACTCTATTCCTGCATTCCCAACAGCTCCTTCTGCCCTGCTATCTACCGCATGTCAGTACCCTGTTCCCACTCGCTGCACCTATCCTGCCTTTAACCCTGTAAAAAAGCGCTCTGTAGCAACTGCTCCCTCTCCTGTTCCATCCTCCAGTTCTTCTCTGTCTCCAGCTGCTCCATTCGTTTGCAGACCTGCGTTTACTTGCAGTGCTCCAGTAGTTAAAACCAGAAAAAAGCGAAAATTCTTTCCAACCAATACCATCCTGCCAGTATCCAAACCGGTGAACCTGCCTTCCGTGGTTCAGCCTGAAGCCTCTACTCAGCCTAAATCCTCTACTCAGCCTGATGCCTCTACTCGGCCTGAAGCCTCTACTCGGCCTGAAGCATCTATTCGGCCTGAAGCCTCTACTCAGCCTGAAGCCTCTACTCAGCCGGACGCCGGCATTCAGCCTGATGCCTCTACCCAGCATGGTGAACTGATCCAGCCTGACGATCCTATTAGGCCAGTTGACTCGATGCCCACTGTTGATCCAGATGATCGGTACCTGATCCGGTGCCCGCTGTCGTGCCAATTGACTCAGAGCCCGCTGTCGTACCTGGTGACTCGGTGCCCACTGCCTTGCCAGATGACGCGGTGCCCGCTGGCGAGCCAAATGACCTGATGCCTGGTGACCCAGTGCCCGCTGTCATACCTGGTGACCCGATTGCCCGCTGTCGAGCCAGACGATCCAATGCCTGGTGACCCGGTGCCCACTGCCTTGCCAGATGACGCGGTGCCCCCTGGCAAGCCAAATGACCTGATGCCTGGTGACCAGTGCCCGCTGTCATACCTGGTGACCCGATGCCCGCTGTCGAGCCAGACAATCCGGTACCTGATGACCCGGTGCCCACTGTCGTGCCTGTTGGCTCGGAGCCCACTGCCTTGCCAGATGACGCGGTGCCCGCTGTCGAGCCAAATGACCTGATGCCTGGTGACCCGATGCCCGCTGTCCAGCCAGACGATTCAATGTATGCCCCAGTGCCAGCGGTCATGCCAGTTGACTCGGAGCCCACTGCCTTGCCAGATGACGCGGTGCTCGCTGTCGAGCCAAATGACTTGATGCCTGGTGACCCGATGCCCGCTGTCCAGTCAGACGATCCAATGTCTGACCCAGTGCCCGCGGTCATACCAGTTGACTTGGAGCCCACTGCCTTGCCAGATGACGCGGTGCCCGCTGTCGAGCCAAATGACCTGATGCCTGGTGACCCGATGCCCGCTGTCCAGCCAGACGATCCAATGTCTGACCCAGTGCCAGCGGTCATGCCAGTTGACTCGGAGCCCACTGTCGTGCCTGGTGACTCGGTGCCCGCCGCTTTGCCTGGGGGCCCGAGACCTGTCGCTCCGCCTGGGGGTCCGGCGCCCGCCGCCCCGCCTGGGGGCCTGAGACCTGTCGCTCCGCCTGAGGGCCCGAGACCTGTCGCTCCACCTGGGGGTCCGGCGCTCGCCGCTCCGCCTGAGGGCCCGAGACCTGTCGCTCCGCCTGGGGGTCCAGCGCCCGCAGCTACGCCTGGGGGCCTGAGACCTGTCGCTCCGCCTGGGGGCCTGAGACCTGTCGCTCCGCCTGGGGGCCTGAGACCTGTCGCTCCGCCTGGGGGCCCGCCTGAGGGCCCAAGACCTGTCACTCCACCTGGGGGTCCGGCGCCCGCCGCTCCGCCTGAGGGCCCGAGACCTGTCGCTCCGCCTGGGGGTCCGGCGCCCGCCGCTCCGCCTGAGGGTCCGAGACCTGTTGCTCCGCCTGGGGGTACGGCGCCCGCCGCTCCGCCTGGGGGCCCGATGCCCGTTGCCCCGCCTGGGGGCCCGATGCCCGTCGCCCCACCTGGGGGCCCGATGCCCGTCGCCCCGCCTGGGGGCCCGATGCCTGTCGCCCCGCCTGGGGGCCCGATGCCTGTCGCTCCGCCTGGGGGCCCGATGCCGGTCGCTCCGCCTGGGGGCCCGATGCCGGTCGCCCCGCCTGGGGACCCGATGCCGGTCGCCCCGCCCGGGGGCCCGGTGCCTGCTGCTCCGCCCGGGGGCCCGCTGCTGCTGCTGCTCCGCCTGGTGGCCCGCTGCCTGCTGCTTCGCCTGGTAATCCGATGTGCCTCTGCCCGGAGTCCTGCCCGATGTGCCTCTGCCCGGAGTCCAGCCCGATGTGCCTCTGCCCGGAGTCCAGCCCGATGTGCCTCTGCCCGGAGTCCAGCCCGATGTGCCTCTGCCCGGAGTCCAGCCCGATGTGCCTCTGCCCGGAGTCCAGCCCGATGTGCCTCTGCCCGGAGTCCAGCCCGATGTGCCTCTGCCCGGTGTGCCGCTGCCCGGAGTCCTGCCCGATGTGCCAGTCTTTGATATCCCGCCAGTTACCAGACCCGGGCGGTGGAACATTTTGCCCAGCTAGGACTGTTTGGAGCGTCCTGAGGCCGCTCCTTGAGGGGGGGGTACTGTCAGGAATGGACTGGCCAGCAATAGTGGGACTCAGCTGCCTTATGAGCTGCAGTACCAGGGCTGGCCAGCGGGTGCTCCCAGCAATCAGAGACTCAACCTTGCAGCCAGTCAAACACCTGGAACTAATTATACTGGTGTATTTAAGGGACATTCAGACCTGCAGACTCTGCCTTGGTGTTGTGTTTCTCTTGGGCCCTGTATCCTGTATCCTGTTCCTGCTCCTGCTCTCTGTTCCTGTCTGATTCTCTGCTGACCCTGCTCTGATCCCTGGCTTGTCTGACCATTCTCCTCTGCCTGACCCTCTGTACCACGCTGCCCGCTACCTGCTGAACCTGGCCTGTGACCCCGACCATTCTCCGCTTGCTCCCCCTGTACCTACCTGCCCGACTGATATTGACCCGGCCTGCCTGACGACGCTTGCATTGTATGTACTGTTATCTGTGGGTGGTTGGTTGGTTTGTTTGCACTGTGTTATGTTTTAGTATTGCACTGCGTTTATTTTTGTATGGTTAGTGTTAATAAATTACATTGTTTATAACATATCTGAAGTCTGCGTTTCCCTGTGTCAGTCACACACCTCTGGTCATACCCGGGAGCCCTGACAGTTACCAATGAAAAAAGAGAGAGATCTTTAGACCGGTCAGACACACCAAGGTATTAATTATTCAAAGACACTTGGAGATCTAGTTCAACATTTAGCCCTTTAGGGTGAAAAATATTCAACTTATAAATCCAATGATTTTCACGTTTTAGCAATCCCCTATCAAAATCTCCTCTTCATAATGGAAAATTAAGGGCATAAAATCCCTTCACTTTAATACCTTCCAATTTGCTACCATGAAATTTCATAAAATGTTGAGCCAGATTACTATCTGGTTCTTTAGATTTTATATCTCTAAAATGTTCACCTATCCGTATTTTAGGTTTTCCCCATGTAAACCTTATTACATGGACATGTCAACATATAAAGCACTCTAGATGTGGAGCAATTGATAAGGCTCTGAATTCTATATTGAACCTTATTCTCTGAATCTGAAAACCTGTCCATATGATGTACATATCTGCACATCTGGCATTTACCACAACTAAACATTCCTCTTGTAGGGGATGTAAACCGGGTAATCTGCCCCATAGGGTTATAACCAGAATGGTAAGGTGCTCTCCTGGGCACCATCTGTGGGTGATCCCCAACAATTCTACTAAGCTTAGGGCATTGCATAATTATCCTCCAGTGTTTTTCTAGCACCTGTTTAACTTCTTTCCATTGTGCTCCATACTGGGTTATCATCCTAACTGGTTGAGAACTATGACCCTGGGTATTTGTAAGACGGTCCTCTTTAGGGGCCAGTAACATTTTTCTATCAGTTTCGTAGGCTCTTCTCCTTGCCTTCCTAATTTGAGAGTGTGAATATCCATGTTCCCTAAACCTCTTGTATAGATCTCGTGCCTCCAAATTGAAATCTTTAATGTCAGAACAATTTCTGCGACACCGCAGAAACTGTCCAATTGGAATGCCATTGATTAGAGACCGTGGATGGTGACTTCCCACCTCTAGCAATGTATTAGCAGCAGTTGGTTTCTGAAACGTATTTGTAAACAGTTTACCATTCTCATATCTAATATTAAGATCAAGGAATGAGATTTGTGACCTATCATAAGTGTAAGTAAGTTTAATATTAATTACATTATGATTTAATTCCTCTATAAACATATTTAGATCTTCAACATTCCCCTTTCAGACAAGGAAAACATCATCAATATATCTCAGCCATATCTGGACATGGCTGAGAAATAGCGACGATCGATAACCAAGTTGCTGTTGATAGTATCCTAGATGTAGGCAGGCATATGCTTGGGCCCATGGTGCTCCCATTCTTGTAATTCTTATTTGTTGGTAGAAGCAATTGCTGAACTGAAAGAAATTATTTTGCAATGCAAAGTCTAAAAGTTCAGCAATAAATTCATTCTGTCCGCCCATATCCGGGTAATACATATGAAGAAAGTAACAAATGGCTCTAAGTCCACATTCATGAGGAATAGACGTATAAAGAGACTCCTACTAGCATGGAATCCTCCTCAATGGCAAGTTCCTGGATCTTTGCCAGGACATCCTTAGTATCTCTGCCATAGGATTTTAAATTAGAAACCATTTCTTTAAGGAAAAGATCAATGTATTTACCTGTTCTTTCATGTGGGCCTTGGATGGTAGAAACAATTGGTCGTCCCGGTAGATTTAGCAAGTCCTTATGAATTTTAGGAATTATATAGAAGATCGGGAAATTTAATTACTCAACCCTGAGGTATTCAAGTTCCTTCTTAGTAAGTAAATTAGCTTTTTTCCCTAGAGTTAACATGAAGTTAAGTTTTTTAACCAAAATTGGAAATGGATTCACAGTTAATTTACGATATGTATTAAAAACGCCTAATTGGCATTTAACTTCTTCACATAATTTTGCTATTTTAATATTACGACATTTCCACCTTTGTCGCTTTTTTTAATTATGATATCTGTAGCCTCTCTCAGTTCTTTGAGAGCTCTTCTCTCACTTTTGGTGTGATTATCACCAAGAGGCATCTTCCACTCTAAAGATTTTAAATCTGCTGACACTAGGTCAAGAAATGTTTCAATCCATCTATTACTACGAATTTTGGGCATTTTCATAGACCTAATTTTTAAATCCACTTTCCTTATCGCGTCTATCTGGTTAGCATCGTCTTCATCATCAAAATCACATAGTCCACCTTCCTCAGCTAGGGAAGTTAGCATCTCAAGAGTTTCATTGTCATCAATGGATGACTCCAATGCAGACACAGAGCATTCATCAGTTCTTTCATGTATCAATCTGAGGAACCCCTTCCTCAAAAACAGATTCACATCTTTAAATATCTCAAACTCATCCATTGAAATCAAGGGAGAGAAAGACATTTCTTTATCTAATAACCTGATATGTTCCTGCTTTAGTGGAAACTCCGATAGGTTAATAACCTTTTGATCCCCACTATTATTGACCATTACCTTCTTTGACTCCTTGTTCTGCCTTTGCCCTCCTGTGTTGACTTTCCCTTCATCTGTTACTCCTTTCTTTTTCTTGATCTTCAGTCAGTTTACAACTTCAGCTTGTTCGATTATGCTTTGCCCATAAGACCTGGAAGCTGATTGGTTTCTATGCAGAAGTGAGCCTGATTTTGCACTCTACAGTTTTAGAAAACAAACCCTTTCTGTCAATCCTCTGTAAACTCTTATACTGTATGTGTTAGCAATGTCTAGCCCCATACATTGCATGATGTGTTAAGCTAAACAATTACAGTGGGGCAAAAAAGTATTTAGTCAGCCACCAATTGTGCAAGTTCTCCCACTTAAAAAGATGAGAGAGGCCTGTAATTGGCATCATAGATAGACCTCAACTATGAGAGACAAAATGAGAAAAAAAAATCCAGACATTCACATTGGCTGATTTGGAAAGAATTTATTTGAAAATTATGGTGGAAAATAAGCAAGCAAGATTTCTAGCTCTCACAGACCTGTACCTTCTTCTTTAAGAGGCTCTTCTGTCCTGCACTCATTACCTGTATCAATGGCACCTGTTTGAACTTGTTATCAGTATAAAAGACACCTGACCACAACCTCAAAGAGTCACACTCCAAACTCCACTATGGTGAACACCAAAGAGCTGTCGAAGGACACCAGAAACAGAATTGTAGACCTGCACCAGGCTGGGAAGACTGAATCTGCAATAGGCAAACAGCTTGGTGTGAACATATCAACTGTGGGAGCAATAATTAGAAAATGGAAGACATACAAGACCACTGATAATCTCCCTCGATCTGGGGCTCCACACAAGATCTCACCCTGTGGGGTCAAAATGATCACAAGAACGGTGAGCAAAAATCCCAGGACCACATGGGGGGATCTAGTGAATGACCTGCAGAGAGCTGGGACCAACGTAACAAAGGCTACCATCAGTAACACACTACGCCGCTAGGGACTCAGATCCTGCAGTGCCAGACGTGTCCCCCTGCTTTAGCCAGTACATGTCCGGGCCCATCTGAAGTTTTCTAGAGAGCATTTGGATGATCCAGAAGAGGATTGGGAGAAAGTCATATGGTCAGATGAAACCAAAATAGAACTGTTTGGTAGAAACACAACTCGTCGTGTTTTGAGGAGAGAGAATGCTGAGTTGCATCCAAAGAATACCATACCTACTGTGAAGCATCTGGGTGGCAACATCATGCTTTGGGGCTGTTTCTCCACAAAGGGACCAGGACGACTGATCCATGTACAGGACAGAATGAATGGGGCCATGTATCGTGAGATTTTGAGTGCAAACCTCCTTCCATCAGCAAGGGCATTGAAGATGAAACGT